TTTTGTCAGTTTTTTGCAATAAACGGCATGTATCGATGCCGGGTGGCCTCCTCTACCTTGCACTGTCATTGGTGTGGCTGGATGGGCTGTGAATTTGGAGGATTTCAGCGGATTGTGCAGGGTGCTGTCGGAGCTGTGGAAAATGGCGCCCACTTCGTTCCACGGCTAAGCCCCGCCCCACAATGGATCGGAGCTTAGCATTTTTGTGGTTACCAGCCAAGTGGTATATATGCTACCATTTTCATTAATACTCCCCACAAAAGCCTGTAGGTTGGAAGTGGGGGGTGGGAGGTAGAGAAAGACTCATGAATTGAGCCAAGATATTGCTGTACCTATCCCTCAAATATAGTATCCCTTTTTGATACCATCTTGAGTGCCCAGGATTTCACTACAAATTGCTTTTCTGGGAATTTGCCCTTCCCTCCTTGGTGCAGCTAAGTAGATTAATCCTCATTCATAAACATGTACTTTCTCACTTTGGTTAATGTATTTTTTTCCATGTCCCCTTGTGTCTAGCTGTGGGGGTTCTAGGTGATATCTGACCATAGACAATATTTATATCATCTTTTGGGTTGTATACATATCATCTCTCTCTAGACCATGGGTCGTCAACCTGGTCCCTACCGCCCACTAGTGGGCGTTTTAGGATTCCAGGTGGGCGGTAGGGATTTCTGAGGCTAAATCCTCTTTTTAAGAGGATTTCTCCTTTTGGGCGGGCGCGAGCGGCTCTGCATGCGCAAGTCTTCAGTGACCGGCAGGAGGAAGCGCTCCCTCCTGCCAGGCCACCTTCTGGACCCCCCGGCATGGCAGCGTTCTAATCAGTCGCGGCGAGGGAGCTCTAACCTCTCTGCTCTGCTCCCTCGCGCGATGTTTGCTGATGCCGCGGGAGCCGGAATATGATGTCATATTCCGGCTCCCGGCATCCGTAGACAGTCCGCGAGGGAGCAGAGCAGAGAGGTTAGAGCTCCCTCGCTGCGTCTGATTAGCCGCCCGCCTAAGTGAAGCCCCACTGGACCCCAGGGACAGATCCACACCAGCTCTCCAGGTAGGGAGGCTGGGTGGATATTTAATATTAATAATTTGTGTGTACATGTGTTTGTCTCTAAGTGTATGTGTGTGTGTCTGTAAGTGTATGTGTGTGTGTCTGTAAGTGTATGTGTGTGTGTCTGTAAGTGTATGTGTGTGTGTCTGTAAGTGTATGTGTGTGTCTGTGTCTGTAAGTGTATGTGTGTGTCTGTGTCTGTAAGTGTATGTGTGTGTCTGTCTGTCTGTAAGTGTATGTGTCTGTCTGTAAGTGTATGTGTGTGTAAGTCAGTAAGTGTGTGTGTGTCTGTGGGTCTGTCTGTGCATGTGTGAGTGTCTGTAAGTGCATGTGTGAGTATGTGTATATTTGTGTGTATGTGTTTCAATGTGAGTGTGTGTGTGTGTGTGTATGTGTTTGCCTGTGAGCAGAGTACTTGTAGAATAGAAGAAAGAAGGTGCAGAGTACTTGTAGAATAGGAGAAAGAAGGAGTAGAGTACTTCTAGTATAGGGGAAAGAAGGAGTAGAGTACTTCTAGTATAGGGGAAAGAAGGAGTAGAGTACTTCTAGTATAGAGGAAAGAAGGAGTAGAGTACTTGTAAAAAAGGAGAAGGAAAGAAAAGGAAAAGGAGAGAATTGTTGTTGACTAATAATAGTAAGTGGGCTACCTAGCTCAGCCTTCCTACTGGGCATTGCTATAAGGAAGGTTAAAAAATAGAAAAAAGGGGAAAAAGGTGGGAAGGGGAATTGAGGAGGGAGAGGAGGGGAGCTGACGCACAGATGAGAAATCATTTTATGAGCAAACAAAGAAGTCTTCCGATTATCACTGAAAGAGGAGACCTTCGTTTGTTCCTTATGAAAATCGAACCAGATATCAAATATTTAGTCTCGCAGCATCAACCTCAAGGATCTCATTAATCACTAGTAAAGGTAAGTTCAATTTACTTTATTGCTTCCTCATTAAACTTTATAAAGTTAAAAACATTATAAACATGCATAAAGTAGAAATAAAAAGATAAATGTACGTTCATTTATGTATTTTTTAAAACACCCTCCTTTCTAAAAAATATTCCGCGCTTGCGCGAAAACTGGTGGGCGGTAAGGAAATTTTTCCATCAAGAAAGATGCATTAGTGGGCGGTAAGTGGAAAAAGGTTGACTACCACTGCTCTAGACGGTCATATTTGTACCATATTCTTTATTTTTTCACAATGGATTTAAAACTAACAGTGCCTTGGCTATGTTCTAACACTGGGATATTTCTATAACCTAACCTTCCTTGATATTTTTCCAGAAGTTTATCTGTTTTGAAAGCAATTTACAAGCTTTGAAGTTATGGACAAGCTTCATGGTGCTGTGTACACTCTCTAACAGAATCTAATTTCAGCTAATTATATGATTTCTGAAGACAATTAGTTACACCAAGGCTTATGGCGATGCGGGTGAATACTTATGCAAGCAGCAAAGGTGTAGATTTTTTTTTTGTTAAATTAACTTCTGTGTCACAATAAACAACACCTTCAATATTGTATCAAACTCAAATGATAAAATTCCCAATAAAATCCATTTTACCTAAAGGTAAACTGTAAAATATGAAAACGGCAACTGTAGACAAAACATACTTATGCAAAGCACTTCATTATTAAGTAATTAACCCCCTTCATTTTAAGCATAGGAGTTGCAGTAAAAAAAATATAATTCAGCTCCTTTCCCATTAAAATTTGTAGTAAAAAAATCAAAGGGTAGAGATGATCAGAAAAATGGAAGCCTTATAGAAATTAGATAAATGTTTGAACATTTTCTTTTGAGTGCTAAAGGCATAAATGTGGATTTTGAAATCAATACAGTTATTTAAAGAAAATATTTTATATATATACTAATATTTAGATATTATAGTATATACATAATATATACATATACTAATATTTATCCACTATAAATTTATGCTGCACTCATTCATCTTGGCTCTTTCCTCTGCAAAAGTAAATTACTTCAATACCCTCATAACCTCCCTCTCCTGCGAACCTATATGAATATTTCACACATTTAACTTTCCTTCACCCTATTGTTCCTCCACCACCTACTAACTTGACCGCCTCAGACTTTGCAACTCACTTCACTGACAAGATCTCTAATCAGGGAAGAGATCTCTCATCTTTATTCTTCCCCTTACAATATTTCCCCCAACCTCACTCCCTCTGCTGTTCTATGTTCATTCACACCCGCTACAGTGGAAGAGGGTTCTTCACTGCTCCAGTCCTCCCTCCCCACCACCTGCTCCCTAGATCCAATTCCCTCACATCTAATCTGTACTCTGTCTTCTTCTCTTTCTCTACCTCTCACTAAAATTCTCAATCTCTCTCTCTTCTCTGGCATATTTCCATCGCCCTTCAAACATGCAACTATAACCCCAATTCAAAAGAAGCCCAACCTTGACCCTAACTCCCCATCCAACTGCCGTCCTATCTCGCTACTGCCTTTTGCATCCAAGATCCTTGAAAGAGTTGTGTATGTAAGATTAACAGACTTCCTCGAGTCCAACTCTCTGCTAGATCCGCTTCAGTCTGGTTTCCATGCTAAGCACTCTGTGGAAACGGCACTGACCAAACTATCCAATGATTTATTCGCTGCAAAATCTTGTGGTCACTACTCTATCCTAATTCTCCTTGACCTGTCTGCGGCTTTTGACACTGTTGATTATCAACAGCTTCTTCTCATCCTCTGCAATATCGGTCTACAAGTTGAGAAAAAAAAAATACTAGAATGGAGTAGAGATGACCACTCACAAGAATATGGGCGGTCCCCCTCCATAATATAGGGTAGAATTTTAGAGTATTTCTATATCTTATTTCCATATTATTTTTTAAATTTAACTTGCTTCCTCTGAGTTTGAAAAATAGCTTTGCATAATATGATTTCAGAGATAGTATTAAGGTACGGCGAATAATTAGTACCCTGTTCAACAATTTGTTAATTTTTAGGTGGTAGGATTCACTTAATTGGAGATATGTGTATTTAATTAATTTGATTATCGTGATTTGTAAGTATGATATTTAATACATGTTTTTGTAACAGTGAATAAGCATTTATTTTACAAAGCTCATTATTATTCTCATTATTTTACCATTGATTGATATGGATTTTGGACAATTTAGTGTGTAATTATGATTATTCCAAAACTGCCTTTGCTTTTCATCACTTTACATGTTTTCAACATGGCAACCAGACTAATTAAGAGCAAATTCCACATAAGGATAGCATTTTTTTTAAATTTGCTTCTTCATTTGCTTAGTAAATATGTCCCTATTTTGGTACCCTTAATTATGGAAATCCCACATAGGGATACCAGATTAGATAGCTATCTACTAAACAGCTGAAAGTCCAACATTAAGAAAAAAAACTACTTTTAATAAATGTGATCTTTTAGGCAACCGTTTAGTAAATAGTTCACTAATTTGGTACCCTTATGTAGGATTACTATTTTTAGTAAATTAGAGGTCTTTCTGCGAAACAGCACCCTCATTTGGCATTTTTTTTGCAATAATTGGGAGTAATGGCATTCAAATGTTTACAAATATTGTTTTCTTTTGAAATAAATTAACAAATTAAAATGACACAAATTGGGGGGGTGTCCTAGACTCTGAACAGAGCAGACGCATGATTTGAGCGCTCCATGCTGAACAGGGCAAAAAACAATATCATACTCTACCTACCAAACAAAACGGACCATGTCCCAACCCAAAAACAAGAGACATGCAGACAAGTCCGAAAAATCCTGCTTTTTTTGCCTCTCGAGCAGGTCAGAACAAGTCTCAGCAGGCCCAGCCACCCGACCAAGATGGAGCGGATGAGGAGCCGGAGAAGCGCCAGCTGACTCCGGAAACCAATGACCCCGCTCACACAAGTGGTGATGCAAACATAGAAACATAGAAACATAGAATGTGACGGCAGATAAGAACCATTCGGCCCATCTAGTCTACCCAATTTTCTAAATACTTTCATTAGTCCCTGGCCTTATCTTATAGTTAGGATAGCCTTATGCCTATCCCACATATGCTTAAACTCCTTTACTGTGTTAACCTCTACCACTTCAGCTGGAAGGCTATTCCATGCATCCACTACAATCTCAGTAAAGTAATACTTCCTGATATTATTTTTAAACCTTTGTCCCTCTAATTTAAGACTATGTCCTCTTGTTGTGGTAGTTTTTCTTCTTTTAAATATAGTCTCCTCCTTTACTGTGTTGATTCCCTTTATATATTTAAATGTTTCTATCATATCCCCCCTGTCTCGTCTTTCCTCCAAGCTATACATGTTAAGATCCTTTAACCTTTCCTGGTAAGTTTTATCCCGCAATCCATGAACCAGTTTAGTAGCCCTTCTCTGAACCCTCTCTAAGGTATCAATATCTTTCTGAAGATACGGTCTCCAGTACTGTGTACAATACTCCAAGTGAGGTCTCACCAGTGTTCTGTACAATGGCATGAGCACTTCCCTCTTTCTACTGCTAATACCTCTCCCTATACAACCAAGCATTCTGCTAGCATTTCCTGCTGCTCTATTACATTGTCTGCCTACCTTTAAGTCATCAGAAATAATCACCCCTAAATCCCTTTCCTCATATGTTGAGGTTAGGACTCTATCAAATATTCTGTACTCTGCCCTTGGGTTTTTAAGTCCAAGATGCATTATCTTGCACTTATCCACATTAAATGTCAGTTGCCACAATTCTGACCATTTTTCTAGTTTACCTAAATCATTTGTCATTTGGCTTATCCCTCCTGGAACATCAACCCTGTTACATATCTTAGTATCATCAGCAAAAAGACATACCTTACCATCAAGACCTTCTGCAATATCACTAATAAAAATATTAAAGAGAATGGGTCCAAGTACAGATCCCTGAGGTACCCCACTGGTGACAAGTCCAAGCTTCGAATATATTCCATTAACTACAACCCTCTGTTGCCTGTCACTCAGCCACTGCCTTACCCATTCAACAATATTTGAATCCAAACTTAAAGATTGCAGTTTATTGATAAGCCTTCTATGTGCAACAGTGTCAAAAGCCTTACTGAAATCTAGGTAAGCAATGTCTACTGCACCACCCTGATCTATAATTTTAGTTACCCAATCAAAAAAATCAATAAGATTAGTTTGGCATGATCTCCCTGAAGTAAACCCATGTTGTCTCTGATCTTGAAATCCGTGTGTTTTTAGATGTTCAACAATGTTAGACGCACTGTCCACCAAACTGCTGAATACCCTGCAAACAGCCATTGGAGACCTCAAAAGAGACGTCCAAGAGCTTGGCAATAGGGCATCAGCAGTGGAAAACAAGACGGCGGAAATGGCCGAAACGCACAATGACCTCACGGGAAAGATGGAAAGCTTCCTCGCCAGACTAGACACACATGAGGCTAAGATGATGGACCTGGAGGACAGGGGACGCCGTAAAAACATCCGCATTCGTGGGGTGGCTGAGGCAATCACTCCAGCTGATCTCGCCACTTACATCACGAGGCTCCTGCAATCCCTGGCACCAGACCTGCCTCAAGACATACTACTGCTGGATAGAGCACACAGAATGGCAAGGCCCAGGTTTCTCCCACCCGAAATGTCGAGAGATGTGCTTGTGTGTATGCACTACTACCATGCAAAAGAGGCGATCCTGAAGGCAAGCAGGACCAGAAAGACCCTGCCTGAACCCTACAATGGCATCTTACTATTTGTTGATATATCGGCTGGCACACTGAAACATCGAAGGAACTTCCATACCATTGCAACCATGCTACGATCACATCACCTAGCCTACAGATGGGGCTTCCCTGTGAAGCTACTGGTCAACAGGAATGGGAAGACTACCATGATCCAGAGCCCAGAGGAAGGTGACTGGGTACTAAGAAGCTGGGGACTGGGAGACCGATATACCATGAGCCACTCACCACAGATAGGAAGACTCTCTCCAGAGTGGAAGAAAACAAAAGGACATTGATACCGTGTATTAGCGCTGGCAAACACACAGACTTTAGTGGGCTGAATGACAACAGCAAGTATTTCTGATGTTCCCCTTAGGCTGGGTTGTTTTATGGGTAGAGAGGGGCCTGACCCGACACTATAATCTGCATCCACTTCCCCAGATTACTTTATGGGAATTAAGCAACCAGAGCAATGTGGCTCCACTCGTAGGGGAAGGAGGATGCAGGTAATGACAAAAAAAAAAACTAGCATGGTCACTCCTAACACCCCTAAGCAGACAGGTAGCATGTGACCCCTAACTTATCAATCATGGGAGATAGTCCTAGGTTGGGGAAGACACACATGAGAAATGTCAACATACCTAGCCCACAGGGTCTTGCTGTGCCCAATACCAGCCTGTACGGCTATCGCCTCCTTAACATGAAATATTGAGCCTAATTTATGAATATTATCTTGGCCACTGTTCAGAACATCCTGTTCCTCTAGGAAGAAGCCATGTGCTGTATACTGAGACCGTGGACGGACCGTATACAGCGAACTCACCATACATACTCATCTAGGGGAAGGACACTCTGCTTGAAAGAGCTGGGACGAGTGAGCCCCCCCGTACAAGGTAGATTCACACCCATGGTACCACTGTGCACATTTCTCATACAACCCCCCATTAATATATGTTCACTAAACGTTAGGGGATTAAATATCCCAGTAAAAAAGACATTTATTGGAAGGGAACTCAGATCACAGAGGGCTGATGTGGTGTGCCTACAAGAGACACACTACAGGACAAATGACCACCCAACACGCTGCAGACACGATACCCCTGGCAGTTTCATTCTACTGCACCCACAAAATCAAAAGGGGCATCAATCCTGATCAGCAATTCTATAGCCTTTATACTTCAAGCAGAAGATATAGATGACCAGGGAAGATATGTCACAATCACAGGTCTCTTCAAAAACATGCTCTACACATTTGCTAACATCTACACACCAAACAACAACCAGAAAAACTTCTTACGTAGCATAGTACAAAAACTGTCATGCATACAGCAGGGGATAATGATCATATGTGGTGACGCAAAGTTCTGGACATAATGTATAGCCTTAACCAGCTCAAGATGGGGGGAAGACTTTTGGTATCCCTAGATGCGGAGAAAGCATTTTACCACCTGCATTGGAAATTCCTGGGGGCTGTCATGCGCAGATTCAGAGTCCCGGGTGCTTTTCTCTCAGCAGTACAGGCACTATACAAATCACTGACAGCCCAGGTACCACGGAACCACTTCAAATAACCAATGGGACGAGTGATGAATGTCTGCTCTCCCCACTGTTGTACATAATGGCATTAGAGCCACTGGTACACCGCATTAGGCAAAACGAATCCAAACGGGGTCTCCGAATCGGAGGCACAGAATATAAAGCTAACCTGTTTGCTGACGACATATTGCTAACCCTCACACAACCCCAAATATCCCTCCCTAATCTAAAATAAATTGCAGTTTATGGAGAAAATTATATTATAAACTCAATGTGCTAAAAGCTCAGACCATGGGGGTGGGAATGAAGTCAGACACACTAGGAGCTCACAAGGAAACATTTGCCCTGGACTGGAGAGATGACCACGTCACCTTCCTGGGAATAAAAATCTCAAAAAGTTTTGATAATCTATACCAATCTAATTATGAAGCATTAAAAACAGAGCGGACTACCACACTACGAAACTGGGAAGGCAAATAATTGACATGGAGAGGCAGAACTGCATCAGTGAAAATGTCTATTTTGCCAAAACTGCAATACCTCTTCAGGACCTTACAAATGAAACTACCCATGACCATCTTAGACAATGTCCAGAGGCAGATAGTACAATATGTCTGGGCCTAACAGAGAATAAGAGTAGCGACCAAAATTTTATAATGCACAGTTGACGAGGGAGGGCTGGGGTTACCCAACATCTGACTACAGGCAGCCATATTGTCATCTATCTTGACAACCCATGGCGAGCAGCGACCACCGCAATGGGTGGAGATAGAGTCTCACTGGGCACAACAAACAGAACTGAAATGTTTGTTCTGGCTACCCAAGCAGCATAGGCTGAAGTTAGAATCGATACTACCAACAACAGACTTGTTGCTCAAAACCTGGGACTTGGTTCACCACGGGATGTGCTCTAGTGTACACTGGTCACCAGCAATGCCCATTTGTAGAGTACAGGTAGCACATCCAACATTTGACCACCACATGTGGAGAAAGGGAGGATGTAATCATATTCAACAATTGTACTCTAAGGGGTCATTGTTACAATTGCCAGACTTAGTAACTAGATTTAATCTCCCACAAAGAGCAATCTTTCCTCATCTACAACTTAAATCGATACTACACGAACAAACGCAGATTAACGACCCACCGGGTACCCTAACTCCCTTCGAAAAAACATGTCTGGTCCACGACACTCCAAAGAAGGCGATGTCCCTCTGCTATAACTAGCTACTTAACCACACCACATCTCCATCATATGCACACCAACAGGCTTGGCAGGCGGATCTACACTGTAGTATTGCCAAAAGCCAATGGAGACAATCCTTTACTATAGAAGTAGGTCAGCATGTGCCACACATATAGAACAAATCAGGAAAATAGGCTACAGATGGTACATATACCCTGGGGCAACTGACAGATGTTGGAGACACACATAAGGTTTACACTTAAACCTGAACTCGAAATTCTATTTATGGGACTAAAGGATTTCAACCACGACATCTCCATACTAGTGTTCCATGTCCTGATAGCAGCCATCACACTAATAGCAAGAGCATGGAGGGAGGAAGATGCCCCATCATGGGGCGCCCTGTTACAACAAATCACAGTTAACTTAGATTATGAACATATGGCAAGAATGCACCTTAGATCGGGGAAACATAACAGTCCTCAAAGCGAAATGAAGAAAATATCTAGCACAACCCATGACACATGACAGGACAGAAAATAAATATAAAAAAAAAAAAAACATTTTGTCCCTGAGTCCACAGAAGCCCTCTCTGCAATGGAAAAGCACAACTTAACTCTCTAGCTATACCAATTTTCGCTGATACACACAGGTCTCATTGACCCACACTTGCAATACTCTCACGTTGCATATAATGTGTAAATAGTTAGTTAGCCCATGCAGGGGGAAGAAAGGTTATCCCAAGAAACAACAAACCACAGATAGGGGGTTAAATACCCACAGCCAGGCACAAGGTC